GGACAGAGGCAGTGCTGTGCTGTACATATTTTATCCTGGAGGTGGGCAGTGTTAGTTCTTAGCTGCCTCTTCCTAATTTAGCTTTTGTCATTTGAAACTAGTAACTCTTCAGTAATTTGGAGTTACTGCTGTCTGAAAAGGGAGGAGGATTCACGTAAAACTCTTCTTGCATGTGAACATTATAGTAAGCAAATATTTTTAAAGATCTTTGGGTTTACATGTTGGCAATAATAATGTTCTGTTTGTTTTAGATGTAAACAATGTCTTGTCAAAGCAGCACTCGCTCAGCAAAAGACCGATATCTGTGTATCCTTACTATGCCTCGCTGGGAACAGCTCTATATGGAAAGGAAGGGCCACAAATAAAGAAACCAGATCCAGTTACAGTGCCGCTGGACCCCTATATCTGGCAGTTCTTACGGAGAAAAAACACCCTCATCGAAGCGATACGTTCTGAGATGGCAAATTGTCATTGTGAGATAGAATGGCCTAAAGGCAACTGTGCGGAGCCAAAAGTTATTCTGCATCCTTCAGCTGCTTTGTCTGAGAGGAAGAGATCAGTGGCTCAGTTGATCAGGACATGGAATGCGGTAGCTTCCACAACATTTTCATACAGCATATCAAAGTACAAAGTAGAGAAGCTTAAAGTAAGCGCAGAGGTGTGGGAAGTCATTAGAACCAGCATTAACCATGATGAACTTTTGATGATCTCACATCTTTCGAAGGATTTACTCGTTGTAATAGGCCACAAAGACATTCTGAAGAATGTTGTCCGAGAACTGAAATTGCAGATAGAAAAAGTCACCAGAGAAATTGAAATAGAAAAGCAAACAACTGAAGAAATAGTGATTCTGAGTCCAGGGGATTTTGCAATTTTGCAGAACATCGGTCTTGAAGAAAGGATTCGCGTAGAATTCCCAACTCTGCAGCTAACTTACGATTATTTGCAGAAGATAATTAACCTATATGGACTGCGTGAGGAAGTTTATAAAGTGAAAGGGGAGATATTGGTTAATATGCAAAAAATGGCAAAAAAAAAACATTACTCTCCACCCTTTTGTTTTCCAGTTTTTACAACGTATTGATAACGAAACCCTGTCACAGAGCCTGTTTTTGTCAAAACACATCAGTGCCTTTTATGAGCTTGGCCCAGATGCTGTCCTTCTGAAAGGAAATGATGACGAAACTCTCCTAAAAGCAGAAGAAGAGCTAAAGAAGGAACTGGACTACAAAAGCATTACTTTAGAAGATGAATCCATCCTCCAGAAGGAGGAATGGACAGCGCTCACTGAGGAGAACTGCTGTAATGCAGCCGTAACAGTCACTCAGAAAGAGGGTGAGATCATTGTTGCTGGCCTTTCTCAAGCAGTAGCGAAAGCCTTTGAAGAGCTTTTTAACTTTGTAGATGAGAACACGCAAGTACAAAAAGTCATCGGAGGAAAGCCCACCGTAGTCCTAATGTACATCGAGAAAGAGAGGGCCTCTGTCTTGGATGACTTGAAGAATAAAGGTGTGAAAATTGACTTCAGTAAAGTTATATCCTTGAGCGGACCGAGAAGAGAGGTGCTGAAAGGAACTACCCTGATTGAGCAAATGCTGTCCGGGCTGCATTACAAGCGTGTGGTAATTAATGAGCCAGGAGCCAGGTCATATTTCAAAGAAAGAGAACGCTTTTTTGCTGCCAGTGTGAAACATGAGTGTAACTGTCTAATCAGACTGGAAGAGCAGCCAGAAGAGTATCTGGAAGAACAACAAGCACACACTAACGTAGGCAAGCGCTATACACAGATGACTGTGCAGGGAGTTCTAATAGAGGTTTATAAAGCCAACTTGTGCACTCATCACGTTGATGTTGTGGTGAACGCTTCAAATGAAGACTTGAAACACATTGGTGGCCTCGCTTGGGCACTGCTCCAAGCAGCTGGTCCAGAGCTGCAGGCTGAGTGCGATGAGGTGGTGAGGAAGAACGGGCGTCTGCAGGCTGGGTGTGCAGTGATCACAGGAGCAGGGAAGCTCCCCTGCAAACAGGTCATCCATGCTGTTGGGCCCCGGTGGAAGGAGCAGGATGCAGGAAAGTGTATGCACTTGTTAAAAAAGACCATTAAAATGAGCCTGCAGCTGGCTGAAACATATAATCATCGCTCCATAGCTTTCCCTTCTGTAAGCGGAGGGATTTTTGGCTTCCCGCTGCACAAGTGTGTAAATGCAATTGTGTCAGCCATCAAGAAAACCCTGGAAGAATTCAACGGGAAAAGCAACTTGAAGGAGATTCATCTTGTGGATATCATAGAGGATAACGTTCAGGCTTTCATCAAGGCACTGAAAGAAATGTTTTCAGATGATGTACCTCTTAACAACCCCGTGCAATCTCTTAACACTCAGACCAACATTGTTCATCAGCCTAGCAAAAGGACAGCTTCTCAAAGTGGCATGAACTTTGCATTGGTAACAACTGAGGAAGGCCTTGACATCATGCTGAAAAAAGGAAGCATTGAAGATGTCACAGTAAGTGTTTTGAGCGGCTGTTTGTCCAGGCTGATGTGAAGCACATTTTTTTAAATATGAAAAGGGGAAAAAAACGAAACAAAACTTTAAACAGAAAATACAGCAAACAGAATCCCTGTGTCCATCATCTGGATGACCTGATTGCAAGAATGCAGCCAAAATATGGTGCTTGTGCAGAGACTAAAGCAGGTGCCCAGTGCCACGTAATGAGTGTCCTGCCACAGGAGAGCAGCTTGGCTGCTCTCGGACCCACCGTGTCCCATAGCAGCACAGCTGATCCATGCCTGTACTGCTGAGTCCTCGGCCCAAAGCTGCCCAGCTCACCCTGTGCTGTAGGGTACTGACCTGGGGAATGGGGAATGCAGAATTTTAACTTTTTGTTCTGTCAGGTTGAAATTTATTCCTCTGTTAATGCAGCTTCTGTACTGCTTCAAGCAGGCTCATGGTGCCAGAACTAAGCATATGTCTTCTCTATTTTGTTCCAAAGCCTTGTTAACTCCAATTGCTGCCCTAGAGCTTTACTTGCAAATCAGCAGATAGGCTCTACTTGATGAATTGATGCAAACCTTTAAAATCTTTACTTAAAGCTGGAGTTCTTGCTTATGTGTTTTTCAGACAGATGTTGTTGTCATCAGTGTTGGTGGAGATCTACAGCTTGACAAAGGACAACTTGCCAAAGCCTTGCTAAGCAAGGCAGGACCAAGGCTTCAGGCAGACCTACATGACGAAGGCCTGGGAAAATCACATGGTGAAGGATCTGTGTTCATAACAAAAGGTTACAGTCTGAGTTGCAGTTATGTGTTTCATGCTGTCGCACCTAGTTGGTCAGAGGGAAGTGAATCTGCAGTGAAGGTACAAGAGTTTTTATTTACTTAAACTCTTAATTTGAATGGACCTTATAGAAAATTTAATGCAACTTCTTTGAAATGAGAGAGGCTATCCTGGGATATGAGTGAGTTTGGGCTATTTATTTAGCTGTGTTGCTCGCACCTTGTTGACTGTCATGTTTTTCTGATGTGCATAATTCCATGCTAAGAGACAGTACTTTCCCTTTTAGCTAAATTGCACGTTCCAGAAAAACTAACTTTCAGTAATGGAAAAAATAATTGTGCTTTACAGATCTTGGGCCGGATCATCACAAAATGCCTGCAATCTGCTGAGGAACTATCTTTGAAGTCCATTACTTTCCCAGCGATTGGAACAGGGATCTTAGGTTTCCCAGGTTCTGTTGTTGCTAAATTGCTGTTTGACACGGTGTATGAGTTCAGTAATAAAAAGAAAACCAATTCTCTTCGGGAAGTTCACTTTCTGTTGCATCCAAAAGATGTAAATAATCTTCAGGTGAGTTACCATGCTTTTCTCTCTCAATTACATGCTATTCTGTTTGGACCTATCTCGTGGTATGTGGCCATGTGTTGTTCTCCGGAGAATCTGCAGGCTGCTTGTTGTCATATAAAGCATAGAGCAGTTTGCTGACAATAGCTTTTGCACGTAGCTTGTCCTGTACAGCCCTGCTTGCTTCCTGTCCTTTTCTATTCCTGGTAATAATGCAGATGAAAGTGTAATTACTCTTTCTATCTTATGAACTTGCTTGATTCTTCAATACGTAAGGCTCACCTGCAGACAGACCTGCTGCAACTTCTGCATAGATGTCTTCACTCTTGGGAAAGGAATACTTTCCATGGGTTTAGATCAAGTCTAAGAAGAATAATGATGTTAGGATTGCATGCTGGTAAAATTCTCCAGTGGAAAACAAATCAGTATTCTGCATCCCACTTTTTTTCAGTGTCACATTAGAACAGGTTTCTCTGCTTTTACTCAAGTTATTACAAGGGTTGACTGTAGTTTCCTTTTCTAGGCATTTTCAAATGAATTTGAGAGACGGTGTGGCAATGATGTAGATGAGGCTAGCGAAGGCACAGGTAAGTTTACTGTTATTATTATTAGCTTTTAAATTTTCCAGGTGGCGTATTCATGATAGATACTTAGATAAGTGATAAACGTGCTATTCCCAAAGTCCACGTGCATGTTGTAAAGGCAATATGTAGTATTTTCAGGATGAGCGTAACGTCTGAAACGGTGCTGGCGATGCTAAGGAAAAAACATTCTTGTGATTCATTATCTGGATGTAGTGTCCACACAGTAAGGATAGCAGAAGGCACAAGTGAGGTTCTTTTCTTTTCTTTTCCTGCTGCAGTCTTCCCTTTTCTTCTGGGAAGAACTAGTCAGTTCCTGGTTATGTGTCTTAACGGGGCCTCTTTGGAATGCTCTCAAAGCTACAGTCAGATCAACAGCGAAACCAACCTGAAATGTCTTCAGTGCTGTCCAGTCTAATGGGGCTGCAGAGTGTAGAAAATGAATATTTGTTGAAAACTCGATCAAGTTTTCAGAAATAATGCATAGACAAAAAGTTGCTGTCATGTGGTAGAGAACCTGCCCAAAAACTCCCTTTGAGACAGGAGCAAAGGAGTGAGATTTCTATAGAAGGAATGTGGTAAAACAAGTTTGATTTTTTCCTACTATTTCAGCGTAAATAGCGATGATGGGAGTAAGTGAATGTTGGTCTGAGACTCCCATGAGAAGGAATGATTTTCAGTTACTGATGTGGGCAGTGTTCTCACAGGTGGAGTCCAGAGATGAACTGTGGTCTCTGCAGGCACTGTACCCATGAATGCTCCTCTGCTCAGTGTCTATTTCTGTCCTGCAGCTTTCTTTGGTCCCATTTTAAACCCAGCACAGGATGTATATGAAATGACAATTGGCTCCATCAAGTTCCAGGTGGCCGCTGGTGATATTACCAAGGAAACTGGAGATGTCATTGTAAACATATCAAACAAATCTTTCAACCTCAAAACAGGTATTTCTGTTGGTATTATGTGTGGATATAGTGCATGTGGTTGGGATGACTAGACAAGGTGAGTGGGAAGCTTTCTTGCTATTCTGAGCTACTGGATAATGTGTTTTAAGACTTGCAGAAAAGGGAAATTAATAACTTGAGTTTTTCAATAGAATCTTTTCACAGAACATCTCGTAGATGAAGAAAGATGAACCTTATTGTGGTTTTTACCTCAGTGAAACTTTTTAGGTTTCTCAAGATGTCTTTTTTTTTACTTGAAAAGCATAAGCCTGAAATTTAAACAATACTATCTAATTATAACCTGTGCTTTTTCCAAAAATGAGAGAGAGTATGGAGTATCTGATTCTGCCTTAGGCAGGAATTAACAGTAGTAACTGTGGAATCATATTCTTCTTCTCATTTAAGGTGTCTCTAAAGCAATTTTGGAAGGTGCTGGGAAAGAGGTTGAAAATGAATGTGCTGAACTAGGTACGGTGCAACTTTTCTGTCCTTTCTGAAGGCTCGCCTGCATGACGGGGAGTTGGTTGGAATTCTTTCTCAGTGCCTGCTGTACACCTATCTGTCTTATGCACTGTGTTACATCACCTGCCTTTAATCAGTTAATGTGATATATGTAAAACATCTAGCAAGGAAGGGAAGAGGCATTTTCAACTCAAAAGAGAGCATCTAAACCTTTGTAAAGGACAAGATCTCCCTATGATTGCATCCTCTAATTCCAGTAAAGCTTTTAAGTGATGTAGACAAGTCCACAGAGAAGACAAGTGTGAGTTGGGAATGATGTTAGCGGGACTCTTAATAGAGAAGCTATGTTTCATTGGGAGTAACTCTGTGCCTGCAACTTCTTTTCTTATCCCTGAGTGAAAAAATGTTTGCCGTTGTCTTCAACAGCAACCCACTACTGTACCCTCTGCATGACTAAGTGGGAAAATCTTTGCATCTGGGTTCCTGCCTTAAAAGAGGCGTTTGTGGATGAAATTGAGCTAGTGAACAGCAAATACAATGAGTGGGATGTAAGGATGGAAAAGTACTTGGCTTAAAAGCCTGTTTGCAAGCTTCCCTTATTTTGATAACAGAACTGAGAAAGTCTGTGGTGTGGAGGTCAGCTCGCAAGACCAACAAAAGGAAAGAATTACATGGAGGAGATGAGCAGTCTCGTGTAAAGACTGACTGTAGTACTTAGTCTGCATGAAGTTTTCTACAGCTGCAGAGCAAACTTGGAAAAGGAAGGCACACAAAACTTTATTTGGCAAACAAGGCAAATAATTCATAATCATAAAATGAATCCCAGAAAGTAAAAATAAAGAGAAGGGGTATTTATCAGCATGGGGAAAGAGACTTGGAGCTCATCCTGGGATGTTCTTGTCATCGTTTCTTATCTCCTAATGACAATTACTACATATATATGTTGTAAAGAATTGTTGATTGTTTATTTACTCCTGCTTACGTTTCAGCCTTGAAGCCTAATGATGGCTATATAACCACCAAAGCAGGAAGCTTGCCATGCAAAAAAATAATCCATTTTGTTGCTCAAGATGATGTTAAAGTGCCAGTCTCCAAAGTGCTTCAGGAATGCGAATTACAGCAGTGCACCTCTGTTACCTTCCCAGCGATTGGAACAGGTTTGTCTCTTCTTTTTGAAGTGGTTCAGTACATGTAATTCTGCAGATCTCAGAGCTGAAACAATTAGCTTGTCCGGAAGGATAGTTCTTTAATAAGAATATATTCAGAAACTGCAAACTTCAAAACCGTCACTGGAAACTTATGAAGAGACTGGAAAACTTCATCTTTGCAGTTAGATAGTAGGTAATGAGTGCTCTAAAGCTACTCTTTCTTGATAACAGGGATTCAAATTTATTTATAATATATGCATACGTTTATGGAGAACCAGAAGTATTTGTTACTACAGCATGGTATGTGAAGCAACTCATTGGTTAAAACCAGGGAGCGAATTCTCTGTCGGTAAAGTCAGTAGATGATGGAATTCTGTCTAGCAGACACACAAGTGGGTGTGACATGGATGGAATGTGAGCACGTCAGAAATGTCAGGTTAGCCATTTTTGCTTCCATGTTTTTTCATTAGAGCAGCAAAATTCCTTACAGTAAGAGAACTCAGATTTAGAGTTTCAACATGAAGAAACCTCTTGTGTGAATAAAACTAGAGCTGTTCTAGGAGTAAAGAGTTCCCTGAGAGCCAGTCCTGTGGCTTGTCAGGTAGGTACCCAGGCCATATTATCAACATCATTACCTTATCAGTTGCTGTGTCAGCAAAAGTAAGCTTCGATTTCCAAATTGACAATTGGAAGTTAGTTGAGTCACTTGTGACCCATGTGACTACAGGAATGATTGTAACTATTCTGTTAAAGATGTTATAATCCTTTTCAAGGCTAACAATTTGTTACTTGTTCCAGGTCAGGCAGGCCGTTTTCCAGATGCAGTAGCTGATGAGATGATGGATGCAATAACTGACTTTGCAAGGAGCAACTCTACTCCATCTGTGAAAACTATTAAAATTGTCATTTTTCAGTCATATCTGCTGAACGTGTTCCATACAAGCATGAAAAAAAGAGAAAATCCTGGTAAAACAAAATCAAAATCATTTCTTTCCAGGATGGCATGTAAGTAGACATCACTTTTAAATAGGGGCAGTAAACCAATCCGTTTTATGTTATACGTTCCCAGCTAGTGCTACTTACAGCATTTGTGTCTCTCGTTGTAGCATTCCTGATCCCTGAGAAGCATCCTCCAAAGGAAAAACGCAAAGCAGTTTTGGAAAATAAAGTTGATCGGGCTGTTGTTCAGATTTGCGGTGAAAATGAGAAACAAGTGGAAGAAGCAGAAACCTTGCTGAAAAGTACAATTCTGAAGGAACAGTTTCAAAGAGAAATCAAGGATGACTCCATCTTGGATTTTGATGAGGCAGAGAATGAGGAACTGCGTGACCTACAGAAGAGATTAAATATTGCTCTGTTCTTGGGAGACAACTTTATTCGAATTACAGGATTTAGCAAAGATGTCTGGTTTGCTTACTCAAGTATCCAAGATATGATCCACAGGGTTAAAACTGCTAAATATGAAGCGATCAAGGCAGAACTTTATCAAAACTTAATTGAGTGGAAATATTTGGAAAAAGATTCCTATGTGTCCTTTGACAGTATGACAAATATGTGCTTGGAAAGTGCTTTTATAAGAAAGCAGAAAGATGTTTCAGTCGTCATTAACAAGAAAAAGTACATGGTGAATATAGAAAGTAGATATGCTACAGATGAGGAAGGAAAACGTATAACACACGTACTGATAAATCTGCAGGTTAGTAAAAGCATCTTGATGAGTTGGGTTGATATTCACACACAAAGCTAGGTTGCATCTAGCTGAGTCAGAGTAAGAAATAGGAAGTATATGTAGAATATTGTGAGATACTTTTTGTCCATTTCTGGAGAAGGTGTTAGAGTGGGAAATTTGAAACTGTTGGAAATATAGATAACACATTCAGAGGTTCTTAACAGGCTTACTAGCAATGATTAGACATGCCTGTAGCACTTGTCCTTCTGAATCATTTGTATTCTCAAGACGGGCCCTCTTCTATTTATTTCAGTGATTTCCATCACAAAGAGCTATTTTTCTCCTGTCCTTACAGGACTCTTCCTGGTGGATTACTTTTCTTCACCCTGCTGTCATCCAGTTTTACAGGGGCTCATGTTATATCTTAACGGGATCAATTATTTTCCATTTAACACTTGGAAAAAGAAGTCAAGTGCCTCACATATTCTGTCAGATGTTTGTTTATTTTTGCTTTATTACCGAAAAAGATGTTGCTTTTGAGAAGATGATACCCTCTTGATTTGATGGAACCTAACATGCTAGATGTGCTCAGTGAATGGGTCACTCGTTGTTAGTGTTCAACAACAGAGCTGAATATGAAATAAGAGGAAGCTTTTCCTCTTTTTTTGCTTTTCATGCAAAGAGTACATTATTGGAGCTCCAAACCTCGTCTTCCTTCTTCAGATGCTTTGCTCCTAGTTGTTTAGAATTAAGTGCCTGTTCCTTCCCCAGTGTGGGCAGAAGACAAATAAAGACATTGCTCCTTCTTTTAATGGTGAAGGAGAACAGATTTGTCTAGGAGCTGCCCCTTTCCAAGACATCAGTTGTCAGTGTGATGACATCATAAAAGAAAGCATCTTACTCTTCTGGGTTTTGTTTGGATCGTTGCTTGGTTTTGTTTCTTTGTTTTTAAAAGACAGACTCTTGGCTGACAGTAAGTAAACAGGCAATAATGATAAGCTATAATAAGTATAGGCTTTTCAGAGGAGTTTGTAGCGGGGCATATTTCACTTTAAGCAGTGGATTTGGGTAAATGATTGGTTTGCTTCTTCTGCAGATCAGGAATCAACAGCACTCCCTGAAAAATGGGACGATATGCAAAATCAGCAGCTCAAAATAGTGAAATTGAAACCAGATACAAAAGACTACAACGAAGTGAAGGAAAGGTTTCTGAAGACCACTCCGTCACTAAATCTAAAAATTGAAAAGGTAAAAGCATGTAATCATTTCTAAGCATAAATACAGCTAATGAGTAATGATAGTAAACAGTGGAAAAAAATAAATTCAGTTGGAATTTGTTGGACAAGTCTTTACAGCAAAAGAAAGGGACACAGTTTTTATCTGCTTTCCTAATTGACTTAAACTGTGTGTGTGTGTGTGTGTGTGTGTGTGTGTGTGTGTATTTAAGCAACTATCTGAGAAGATTGAACAAAACCATCAATAACCACACAGTTGTTCAGTGCCTGTGATCCTTATGACCTTCAAACCTGGTGTAAAATATCTCTGCTCCCAATAGGAAACTACTTATGAAATCAAGTCTTATGATGCTGAGAAAATGCAGAATATGGCTATTTTCGTTAAAGTGCCTATATGTATTGTCTCTGTTCATGTAGCTACTACACATTCTTCTCTTCTGCTTATTCATAGAATGGCTTGGGTTACAAAGGGCATGTAAGACCACTTAGTTCCAACCCCTCTGCAGTGGGAAGGGCCACAGAATCAGATACTGAATCAGATAGCAAAACACAGCAAGCGGAGAGGATTCACTATCCAGAAACAAATGTAGAGCAACTTGCCAGTGAAGGTTGTGAAGGTAGTGAAGACTACTGATGTCTTTGTGAATATTTGTTGTTTCAGCACTATGTACTGCTCACTTCTGGCAGTGTAGAAGCGTATGAAAGATTGCTTGCTAACATGTCACTCCTCAATGGGGTAGCACTGATTTGAGCTGGTTTGGTTACATGAACCCAGTTTTGATGTCATCTAGTTCCCTAGTAAATTTTTCAGGCTCAAGCTGTGAGTTTCAAGCATTGTCTTCTTCTGGAGTGATAGGGGACTCAGTACATCTGTGTGTAAGCATCTCTTCTGCAGAGCAGCCCACTGCTCAACAGTCAAGTTGCATGAGAATTTATTTAGGATGTTCCCCCAAAGAGCAGGGGATTAGTGACAGCACTGTCATCTGATTAACTGATTTAAAGGAGCATTGGTTTAATGTTGCAGTTGAGGTATTTGGTACAAGTCTTCAGCAGTTACTTCTGATGCCCCTGGTGAGCGTGCTCTTTTCTTCAGTGGAGCAGAATATTTTCTCCCTTAAGCCACGTGTGCTCAGCAGGTGGTTGATTTGTGTATGACCCAGAAGCCTGCAAGACTATCTCATGTTGTTTCCTATGGATTGTTTCTGTTGCATTCTGGGTTGGATTCTGCTGCTTGCCACGCTGAAGTCTGGAGCCACGTGCCCATCATATTTTATAATCTAGTATCCATGTGTTGTAGCTGGGAGGAGAATCTTGGAGCACTGGGTGATTGATACACTGATGTTTTTCATAACAAGAAGAAATGAATGTCTTCTTCTCAAACTTTGCAGATCGAAAGGGTACAGAACCCATCTTTGTGGAAAGTCTACCAAATAAAAAAGTGTCAAATGGATGCCAAAAATGGCAACAACAATAATGAGAAGTTTCTGTTCCATGGGACAAGTGCAGAATCATTAACTTTCATTAACAACTATGGATTTAACCGCAGCTATGCTGGAACGCACGGTAGTGTGAATTTCAGAACTACTTGTTTTCCTGGATGGGGCTAGGAATCATTTGCTACACTACCTGTGTAGTGCTGACATGTATGCAAAACTGTTTAACTTGCTAAATCTCTCTGTTGCAAATAAAAACCAAAATTGCCACCTCCAGAGCTTGTGAATATCTGGAGAGCAGTTGCTATTAATTAATTTTTTTGTTTGTTTTTGGTCTACAGCTGCACAGTATGGAAATGGAACTTACTTTGCTGTTAATGCCAGCTATTCTGCTAATGATACCTACTCAAAACCAGATGCCAATGGGAAGAAGCACATGTACCTGGCTCGAGTCCTTGTTGGACAGTATTCCCAGGGGACACAAGGAGCAATTACTCCAGCAGTAAAGAGTGTTGGCAACAGTGTGGATCTGTTTGACAGTTCAACTGATAATGTGAACAATCCATCCATGTTTATTGTATTTAATGATATTCAAGCTTACCCGGAGTACCTCATCACTTTCACTAGATGAGCATTTTGATTGCAGCCATGATTGCATGTCTCTTAGCTTTTATGTTATAAATCAGTCCTACAGATCAACCAAATATGCAGTGAGAACTATTTATAGTTTTATCAAATTAATTTCTAAAGGCCTGTTTATGTTCAAGCAGCCTCTGGTTCTTTTTGATGTCCTGAGCATAGACTAATGTTTTTCCTCTCAGAGTAATAGCTGAATGCATTTAAGACAAGTTTAATCTGGCATGTGGTCTAACAGCAGTTTCCAGTAGACGTCCCACGCCTCCCCTATTGTGATCCTCCATGCTGTGTTCTGGCCATCCTAGCTGCAGCAGTGCTGGTGGGGGAGAGTGAGAGACAGAGTGCTTGGTCTCACGTTTCTGAAAGAGTGAGGAGCTGTCATCAATTATGATGCCGACTGTCATTCACAGTTCTCAATAAATGAACTATCTGTACTTAATGGGCTGTGTTTGTCTGAAATGATCTCTGGACATTTAGCATTTGTTTTGAATGGGTCAGTTATTGAGTGCTTGGAGACTGACATCGCTAATGTGGATTTACTTGCTTTTAATACAGAAGCCCTCCCAGGCAGGTCAGTAAGAGGTTCTGTCACTGTGAGCTAACTTGCTACCAGCAATTAATGGCTGAGATACCTAGGTATAGCCTAAGAGAGCCAGGAAAGTGGAAGTTGGGAAGATGCTTCTGTTATGCACCAGCTGTAGTGTAATGTCCTTCCTCTGATCTTAAGCAGGAAAGAACAGGGCAAAGGTGGGTTTTTTTTGTGAGTTTTGTTTGTGGGGTGGGGTGAGTGGGTCTTTTTTAAGGCCATTTTTTATTTTTCTAATGCTGATTAATTCTTCCTATATTGTTATGTTGGCCCACGATATCAGAGGTGGATGTTGGTAGTATGGCAGTAGAGGCTGAACCTTCCATCAGTTTTCTATTACACTTTGCTGCTGTGTGACAGATGACAGCAGAGGAGCAGTCTGACATGGAAGTGTGGAATTTAATTCCTCCACGTGGTGAAAATGCACTGCTAATGGTAGTGGCTAAGTTGAACAAGTCATTTGTAGCTGAAAACTTGCTCTATCTAATAGTGTTCATTGGCTCTTTGCATCTGTGGTAGTTTCCTTGGAAATAAATAGCTATTACTTTTGGAGCAACTTACATACCAGCTTGCTACTAGTTGAATGTATTACACTAATGTTGTTTTCATGTATCCCGTGCAATCCTTTTAAAATGAAACTTCATCAAAGATTCTGAAAGCCAATAGCTTTTTCCACACTCTGTTTATTATGCAGAGAGAAAACTAAGCAAAAACCCAGCTGGAACTTAATTTGCCCACCGTCCTGCCTCAAATTTCAACTGACACATCTTCTCACGGGGCACAGTAATTCTGACACGCTGCAAGCAAGCTAGACAAATATTTTGGAGACAGGGGTGTTCAAGCATTTCCCTTTGGGTCTCTTCTAAAGTTCTCGCTAATGCCTCACCTGTAAGCTTCAGAACTGGTTTGTCTTACTGTGCTTGTTAGCAGAATGTATCTGACTTTCTGGGGGCATAAAGTGGATGCCTTTCACGACTAGTCAGATTTTTGTGAACCAGAAACATGGGCAATTGCAATGGTGTACGGGCTTCTTTATTTTTGAACTCTATGTTCAAGTTACTCTTGTAACTTCTCTCAACACCATTAGACAGCAAGTGGTTATTTCTTTCCTTGTCAAAATGGGAAGACTACACCCTTCTGCACAACACCCTCTTGGAAGAGGCAATATTGTTTTGTTCAGCAAATAAGAAAAAATTAGAAGTGCCTGTGCAGCTGCTTGTTGCTATTTAAATTTAATAACGGAGAGGGCCGAAGAGAGTCAGTCTCAGATGGTGCTGCGCAGGGAAAAGCATTCTCTACATTACAGGTGTGCTTTCAATTAACTTTTATCTGAATGATTGTAATTAGAGATTTTACCACAGATGTTCCTGGAATAATTACTTTCCACTTCCTTGCGCAGTGCACGTTTTTAGGAAATGGGCATGGAGACTATTTCTCCCTTCAAATACTTTCTCAATTATATTAAAATTTCTTGCTCTTTAATGGTTTTAATATCGAGATTGTCTTAATACTTTTCTTTTTCAGACTCCTACTCGATTTTCCAGGACCTCAGAAAAGGCATTTAACAAAATACGAGTTGCATTTTATTATGCTTGCATCTAGGGAAACCAGTTTCTGCAGTGTTCTAAATTTATCTTTGGAGTTGAGAATTAATTGCTCGTTTTGTTTCTGGTGCTCAACACTGGTTCTACTTTCCTTCAGTTTTGTTCTGAGTTTATGAAGATAGAGGTCTGATTTGTTATTGCACTTGTATACAGATCTTAGCTGATGATCTTGTTGCACATCAACTGTTATGATGTGTATTGGATATGAAAGACTGAGCAGCTATCCTGATTTACATGAAGATTAATTGTGCCTCTCCGTGCATTAACTAGCATTTTCTTGGTGTCCTGTTGACATTTTTGCCAATAACATGACATTGTGAAGTGGCAATTAGAAAACACAGGCAAAGAGAAGCAGGCTCCTGCTTCGCTTGGGATTCTAAGCTACATGGGATCATGTTATTCCTTTGAGTTTTAATAAAAAGCTGAACTACAAATTTAGAACAGAACGACAGATCTGAAGGTAAGATTCAGTGAAGGGAGAAGAGCAATGCATGAAGCAGAAAGACCGAAGACAAAGGGTCCTGCCCTCTCTCACATTAGATCCTGCCAGATCCACAGCAGGTTTTAGAATGTAAGATGATGGGCTGAAATTTTTCTTAAATATATGTCATAGCCTGGGATAAAAAATAATAATACCCAAGAATGGACAGTGTCATTCATCTTTCTCATACGTTTATCTATCATAATGTGATCTTTATATCGTAATGGTATTCAGTCAAAACTAGTTATGGGAAACCAAGAGGCTTCTGCAAATAGCACCTCCTAGATCAAAGCAACAGTATCAAATAGCACATGTGTTGGTTTCAGTTTAACAGACAGAAGCTAAGGCACTAACAGCATATCTGCAGAGAAACTGGTGTTCTCTCTGCCTATGAAATCATTATGGGAGAGAACTTCCCATTCTCTTCCATCAGAGTACATCAGGGCAGGAATGGCCAGGTGGGGATAGGGGGAACTGGGTTCACCTGCATATGCTGGAAGATCAGAGATACAGGCCTTCTGGACACAAATTCTCCATTAATGCTCACTCAATTTAAGTGTACAAGAACAGTTGGAAAGGACACTGTGGGAATTATACAGAGTAAATCTAATGTCATTGAATGCCTCCACTACAGCCTTCTCCAACAAGTCCCAAACCACTTAGCCTACATATGACCACTTATGACAATTCAGATGCTCTGATGGCAAAATTAAAATAAATCTAATATCAACAGATGCTAGAAATCCAAATACTGTTCAGTAAGTTACCTTATACCTTCTAGTTTTGTCTCTTTCTTGTAAGGAAATTGGCAAAGGATTGAGGGAAAAAAAACCCAAAAACTATTCCCATTCTGTCAGTATGTAGAGGTAAATAAGGAAAAGGAACACTGCTCCCTAAGTTTCCATTTGGGACCTCAAATTCTCCCTTATTTCATGAGACTAACACCTTACTACCACCAGGTTGAGCATCTTGCTGTAACGAGGGAAACAAAACAAAACAAAAAAAGACCTTTCTGAAATAATGTTTGAGATTTCTGTGTATCAGCTTTCAAAGGCAGGCAGAAACATTCGGTGTCTGTTTATTTAAACTTCCGTCCAAAATAAGGCCTTGTTACTGTTGGCTCTTATCACTGGCACGTTTCATTTTCCTAAGTGATCACTGAGGTAAGCAGGGATAAGACAGAAAATAGAAATTTTTCTGGTGATTAATTTTGTGGTCACAACAGGGGGGCTATTGAGATGGAAATCCCATTAAAAGTAAGCACTGCATCTCTATTTCAAGAATTTTGAAATTTTAGGCTTACACAGGCTTATACATTTGACACACGTTTTGGCAGTGTTACTTTCCATCTTGCTCTGAGTGCCATATGACAGCTGCAGTAAGGTTACCAAACAGGAAAGAGGTACAGAACTCCAGAGCAGACCTGCTGAATGGCTTGTCCTATCTGGTCCTCCCCATTCCCTGGGCATCTCCTTATTTCAATGAGGATATTTGCCATTTGGAGATAGGTATGAACAATTTGACCGGTTCTCTTATCTAAAATCCTTTTCGTGGCCACTCTTTCTTATGCTAAGAAAAGGGGAAGAGAGAGGAATGGAAGCTTAGAGTAAATGACAACATTTTCTCTTTCCACTGTCTGCTAAGCAGCCTGGTTCAAACGCAGTTCCTGACTTCTGCCAGCAGCTCGCGCCGTTTGTGTTCCTCGCACCCAGAAACACAAGACTTGCAACAGAAATCTCTCCGGAGCAGCACTAGGGCTGGTGTGGCAAACAAGAGGGACAGCACAAAGGCTGTAAAGGAGAAGCATCCCTACTTCTGATCCGGGTCATGTGTAAGAGCAAAATGCAAAGGGAAGGCAGGAGATGTACAATGTAAGCAGCTCTGCTTCTAATGAGAATAATAGGGTACAAATCAAAAGAGTGTAGTAACAGGAGATTCACGCTAAGGCAAGATAAGTACATAAAAATAGTTCTCATTTACCATTTCCTTTGCTTCCTAAGGGCAACACATTCTCCATCTAACCAATACAAAAACACAGTCGGATATCCAACTTGTGATTAACCAGAGTAAAAATAATTTTATAAACATTCTGTTAGAAAAATCCTAACAGTTGCACAGTCAGGAGACTCTAATTAATTCAGTCAAAATGGAAAGCACCAAACTTGAATGCTGCCAGGAGACATAGAACGAGGCTCCAAAATATGTAACGCGAAAGTCATAATAAGAGAGGCTGACACACTGTAAACTTACAAACAAATTATCTCAACACATTTTTCTGGATCATGCTTCAGACCAAGTTTTGAGTCTCCAGAAAGATAAAATAAAGAAGAATTTTTGTAAGCATCATTGACTTTTTTTTTTCTTTTTTTTTTAAATACTCCATCCTCAGTAAGAAAGACAACATTGAAGAAACTTTATCCAATGTTTTCGCTGGCGCTTAAGAGCTGTTATTCAAAAGCTCGGCTGAGACTGCAGTCACTCTTTTGAACTCCTACCCACCTTATATAAGAAGCCCACAAAAATAAATAAATAAATAAATGAAAATCCCTGACTACTTCTCTGTTGTCCCAATTGCTCTGAACTTCTTTTATTTCATCTTTTAAAAGCAAATGATAAATGCAAAAGTTGTTCAGGTAACACAAGCATAGTCTTGCACTGCCTGTGTTCCCTTCTGTACTGTGTAACGTAAAGCTGACTCAAACACCTTTGCATTGCATTGGTTTTTCATTCATAGTATTTGCTAGCATCAGGCTAACAAAAGAATACTA